TCCTTGTATAATTATTATTTTGAGACAATGTAAATACAACCTGTTCTTGAGCCTGCATTTTCATCCATGAATTTTAGCATCCAATGATGTTTCTTGTCAGAATCTATTATTTCTATGATGTTTGCCAAATGATGATTTTTCTAAATTTAATTTTTATTTTATGTTGGTGGATAGTTGATTTACAATGTTGTGTTAGTTTCAGGTGGATAGCAAAGTGATTCAGTTATATATATACATGTATCCACATTTTTCAGATTCTTTTCCCATATAGGTTATTACAGAATATTGTGTAGAATTCCCTGTACAGTAGGTTCTTGTTGACTATATAGAGTGTACAAATAATGATTTTCTAACTCAATTAATCCTTTGAATTTTATTAGTTGACATTATATTTAAGAAAGTGTTTTTTCTCCATTTACTCATTCATTTATCTGTATCATTATAGACTGATGGATTCTTCATTTATTCAGAGAATATACTCTGTTTATCATCACTATTTCAGTATACTGTTCCATATTTGGCCAGTAAAATTCTTTCTAAGTGAATTCTGTGTCCCTCTGAAATGTTCCTATCATTCTCTGAGCACTTCCTAACTTCCTTGCACAAAAAGATATTCCTGGTCACCTTGTCCCTGCCTCTGTCCTGAAATGAGCCATTTCTCCAAGAAGTCCTGATTCCTCTTGCTGTAGACTGCTATTTAGAAACCAGAGTCTGGGTGTTAGGTTTGCTTTTTGCTACTGGGTTGATATTGTTTCCAGCGCTTTTCTGTGGACAGAAACAAGTGAACAGTAAACATCGTAGAGGGTGGTGAGTAATAATGAAGGACAAAGGGTTACCGGAGCAAAACAGAGGAAGAGATGTCTAACTCACCACTTCAGAGTTGTGGGGAGGGGTACAGAAATATTCTAGACAAGAGATGTTTATGTGCAAAAGGCCCAAGTCAAGACAGCACGCGTCACATTTAAGGAGTGAAGGCAGGTTAATATGGCTAGACAGTAGAGAGACAGGGGCGGTGATCAGAGCAGGCTACAACGTAAACAGGGACTGGCCAAGTCTCCAAGTCTCAAGCAAGAAATGCTAGAAGTCTGGAGTTTATCCCAAGAGCAATGGGGAGCTATTAAGATTTTGGACAAAGGATTTATGATCAGATTTAGAACAGCTGTTTTCAGAATTTTTTTTTTAAACTCACGAACTACCAACATTATTTGGATTATGGAGAAAGCAAGGGAATTCCAGAAAAACATCTGCTTCACTGGCTACACTAAAACCTTTGACTGTGTCAATCACAACTGTGGAAAATTTCTTAAAGAGACGGGAATACCAGACTACCTTACCTGCCTCTTGAGAAACCTGTATGCAGGTCAAGAAGCAATGGTTAGAACTGGACATGGAACAACAGACTGGTTCAAAATTGGGAAAGGACTACCACAAGGCTGTATATTGTCACCCTGCTTATTTGACTTAAATGGAGAGTACATCATGTGAAATGCCAGGCTGGATGAGTCACAAGCTGCAATCAAGATTGCTGGGAGAAATATCAGCCATCTCAGATATGGAGATGATACCACTCTAACAGCAGAAAGTGAAGAGGAAGTAAAGATCCTCTTGATGAGGGTGAAAGTGGAGAGTTGAAAAGCTGGCTTGAAACTCAACATTGGGAAGAATAAGATTATGGCATCCAGTCCCATAACTTCATGGCAGATGGAGGGGGAAAAGTGGAAGTAGTGACAGATATTATTTTCTTGGGCCCCAGAATTGCTGCGGATGGTGACTGCAGCTGTGAAATAAAGGGACACTTTTTCCTTGGAGGGAAAGATGTGACAGACCTGGACTACGTATTAAAAAGCAGAGATCACTTTGCCGACAAAGGTCCCGTCTAGTCAAAGCTATAGTTTTTCCAGTAGTCATATGGATGTGAGAGCTGGACAGAAAGAAGGCTGATTGCCAAATAATTGATGCTTTCTAACTGTGGAGACGACTCCTGAGAGTCCCTTGGACTGCAAGGAGATCAAACCAGTTTATGTTAAAGGAAATCAACCCTGAATATTCATTGGCAGGACTGATGCTGAAGTTGAAGCGCCAATGCTTTGGCTATCTGATTCCAAGAGCTGACTCACTGGAAAAGACTTTGATGCTGGGAAAAATTGAAGGCAGAAGGAGAAGGGGGTGGTGCAGAGGATGAGATGCTTCAGTGGTATTACTAACTCAATGGACATAAATTTGATCAAATTCCGTGCTATAGTTCATGGGGTTGCAAAGAGTCGGACATGATTCAGTGACTCAACAACCATCCTAAAAGGGTGAAAAGCTACTTCTACATTTTAAGCTTACACCTAATATTCTTCATAAACTTAAAAGTTAATTTTCTTGTTAATAGGAGATTTAAAAATATTAAATATTTGAAAGATGAAGTGGGATGACCATGAATTATATCTGAAATAAATATTTTATGATACTCACCTGATCCGAAAAGTCACATAAATTTTCTCTCTGTGGATTTTCTGAAATGTCTCTTTTAAAATGTGCTGGTTCCAGCAGGAGGGAGGCTCATGAGGGTGGGGATATATGTATACTTATGGCTGACCCACGTTCTTGTACAGCAGGGAACCAGAGCAGCATTGTAAAGCAATTAGCCTCCAATCAAAAATAAAATTAAGAAAACTCAAATCCAAAAAAATGTGTTGGTCTCAGAAACCACACAATTACATTTGTAAGAATCAGCATCACTACTCTGTGTTGCCTAAGTTGTTCTGAATTCAGGGCAATCTTCACCCTTCACTTAATCTTCACTTAATAATCATATAACAGTATGATAGGACCAGTAACAGAAGGAAGACCTTATAGGTTTGAGATACCTCAATTAATCATTAAAAGACTTTCATTTCTGCCAAAAATGGAGTAAGGAACTGGATGTGCCCTTCTGGGAACAACAAAATGTATGTAACAATGGTTTCAAGATCCTGGGTATTGAGCAACAAAGGACAGTGATCTCTGAGAGGGCACAAAAAAGATGAGCCCTTCAACTGCCCCAGCTCATTGCCTTGAAAATCTCCAGATTAAAGAAATAAAGTTAACCATTTCAATAAACACATTTAACTGTAAACGATACAAACACTCAAATTAAAGGAAGACTCAATTATATGCTATCTACAAGAAACACTTGTTTAAGCATAAAGATGTGGACAGTATTAACGGTTGCAAAAAATATACCATGCCAAGAACCAATCAAGAAAGCAAAGTTCAATATTTTAATACTGGACAAAGTAAATGTCAGAGTGAAGATTACTGGGGATCTAAAAGATATCTTCATGTAACTATAAGGGATCAATAACGATCCTAAACATTTATGGGCTTTGGTGGCTCAGACGGTTAAAAATCTGCATGCTATGCAGGAGACTGGGGTTTGATCCCTGGATCGGGAAGATCCCCTGGAGAAGGGAACGGCTACCCACTCTAGTATTCTTGCTTGGAAAATCCCATGGACAGAAAAGCCTGGTAGTCTACAGTCCATGGGGTCACAAAGAGTCGGACGTGATTGAAGTAACTCAGCACACACACAAACATTTATGACCCTAAAAACAGAACTTCAGAATACATAAAGCAAAAACTGATAGAACTATAAGAATCTGATAAAATCACAATTATGTTTGGAAATGTCAGTGTCCTTCTTTCAATACTTGATAGAACAAATGAGCAGAAAATTAGCAAGAATAGTCTTGAACAAAGTTGTGTTTTGGACTTGAGTTTAGGACCCACTATGACATTGAACATCTAACTGGGGGGATACACTATAACAGGGACCTGGGGCTCAGAAGAGAGAGCTGTCACGATAGAATCTATCAGAGTGTTTTTAAGCAAGTCTGTATTTTTAAATAAGTGCCCTAGGGAAAACAGGTGTGCAGTGATGAGAGGGCTAGGAATGGAAATATTGTAGAAAACCAATTCTTAAGTTTCCTTCTGTAGGAAAGAGACAGGAAGAGCAACAAGAAAAGGTGATGGAGAACAATCATGGAGGTGAAAAGACATCTTTATGGTGCCTTGTAAGGAAATCCATTTTCAAGAAGGAGGAAGCGGTGAACAGAGTGAAAAGTTGCAGATTGAAGCTTGTGGCACATTGGATTGTGGTGCATGCTGATGTTCTTAGCCATAAGCACAAGTGACCACTAGAATATATTTAAACCAGGCATTATCTAATACCAGTGAGGTTTAACCAATCCTGAACGCCAGCACATCACATTCCATTCCATTCCAGGTGGATGTTGACGCACTTCCCCTATTGGTTAGGGCACTATTCTCTGGTTTGTTCACTCAGACCTATCAACAGAACAGAATCTCCATGGCTTTAGACAGTTCAAGTATCCATTTTTCTCCTCAAAAAAAGGTAAATAAAATACTTTCTTTGAGTCTGAGGTCTAGGAAGGCCTTGGGCCTTTTGTTCATGTAAATGTTTTACTAACAAACCGTCTATTCTTTCCCAGATCAGGAGCCTCTTGAGGGAGAAGCACATAATCTCAATGAGCTTCAATTTTCTTATTAGTAAAAGTGTATAAAAACATCAATCTTACTGTACTACTTCCAGGGGATTAGTTAGAATAAAATGAGATTTTGGAAGTTTGGGCTGTCTTACTCTAGCCCTTTAATACCTGGACTAGAGTTTGACACAGCATGAGCTCAGCAAATGTTGCCTGTATTATAAATGACTGAATATTTGTTAAAGGGCTTTGTAAACTAAAGCTGTTCCAAGTGTTATTATTTATTCCTCAACCCTGATTTAGACCCCTAGGTGGCCAAATTCAAGGAACTGTAATACCTTGCATTGATGGATGCCACGGAGTAGCTGGAAAGACTGCTCCCTCTTCTCCACAAAATATCCAAATAAAAATAACAACACTTCTGTGCAAACAGAGCTCCCGTCCTCGGGTTCAGTTTTCCATTAGATTGCCGCTCCCAAAGCCCTTCCTTTTGAAAATTCTGCACCCGATGTAGAACTTATGACGGACCTAAGTGATCAAATATCACTTTTAAGCCCACGGCTGTCACCACGAAACTCTTCAAAGCAGCTTTGGCCTCCCCCCATGGGCCGCAACCTGAGATGAGGCCGCACCACCCGGTAAGCGTTCCCCAGAGACCCAGCTTCTCCGGAGGCCGCCTTCTCAGGGCAAGTCTTTCACAGCCGTCCAAGGCTGCAGGCCGGCCGGCAAACAGCAAGAGGACTGCGGCTTGGGTTTTCATCCAAGGCCGGCTTTAGCGGCCGGGGGTGGGGTAAAGCGCCACAGGCCCTCCAAGCCGCGCCGGCTGCCGGGTGCGGAGGCGGGACAGGGGCAGCTAAGCTAGTTGCCGCCGGCTCCTCCTTCCAAGGGCGGGCCAGAGCGGGGTGGGGCGGGGCTATGACCCGCAGGCCCCACCTCTCGTGGGCCGGCAGGCCGGAGACCCGTGGGTTTCTTTTCCTGGGGGCGGGCCTCGGCGGTGGAGACTGATCTGGAGGCGGGGCCGAGCGCCGAAGTCCCCTCCTCCAGAGGCGGGCTTATTCGGTGGCTGCCGCGGCAGCTGCGGGTGTCCGCCGCTCAGCAGCCGAGCCACACGGGCTCTGGCTCCTCCCAGTGGCCGGCCGGGGCGGAAGCAGGAGGCGGGGGCAGCGTGCGCGCTGCTGGTCTGCTCTCCCGCGGCGCTGGGGCCCGCGCTCCGCGGCTGCTGCTCTACTCGGCGCTTCGCAGGCAGCTAGCTGCTCTCCGCGCCTCTTGCCTGCCGGCTCCTCGACCAGGCCTCCTTCTTAGTCGTGGTCCGTGGCGTCGACCCTCGCGGCCCTCTCCCGCCCCGTCTCATCTCTGGCCGCCGCCGCCGCGGCCCCAGACCCGATGGCGCTGTGCAACGGAGACTCCAAGGTCAGTCTCTGGCGTGGGGGGGGGGTCCCTGCCTCACCGCTTCCGGACGGAGGCCAGGTTCCGAGGCCGGGGAGTCACCGCGTGGGGCCCTTCCCTGCTTCCTCCCCCTTGCCCGCCAGCGCAACCCTGCGGCCCGGGCAGCGGCGTGCTGGAGAGCAGGCGGTCGGGGCCTGTGGCTTGTATTCTGCTCGCGAGCGGCAGGTGCTTTGTTGATTTTTGTCTGCGTGTCGGGGTTCCCGCGCCCGCCGAGCTCTGGGCGTCGGGGAGGGCGTCAGCTTTCCGCGGCCGAGCCGCGCTGGCCCCCGCCTCCCCGGCGTTGCCGTGGGGCGCCGAGCCCGCGGAGGGCGGCCCGAGGGTGGGGGTAGGGAGGCGAGCGGGTGTGTGAGTGTGTGTGTGTGAGAGAGAGGGGTGGGGGGGGCTTCCTCAGCCCTCACCCCGTCCCTTCGGGAGCCGGGGAGCCTTTTGTGGAGCTCTGCGGGCTCACCGAAGGCAGGGTAGGGTCAGGGCCTCGCGTGCGGCGTTCGAGCTGGGCCGGCCTCCGTCTTCCCGCCACCTGGTTTCCCGCCTGCCTTCGGTGAGGCTAGCCCAGTTACCCCACGTCGGCCCTGGGGTCCGGGGCGGCGAGGCCGGCCCAGGGTGAGGCCGTGTGACTCCCCGCCCCGCGCCGGTCGGCGGCCCCCTCCCCCGTCGGCTCCGGGGCGGGAGGGTCGCTCCCGCCGGCCCCCTCCCCCAGCCTTCTCCGAGGGAAGGAGCGGGTGTCCAGCCCCGCCCACTCCTTATCTTGCTCGTCGCGGGGCGGTGGGGCCGGCGCCGGGCCTTGGGGAGCCCCCTCCGCTACGCCGGCCGCCGCCGCCGCGCCCTGGGGCCGGGGAAGTCGCGAGTCCCGGGTGCTGGGGAAGTTCAGTCGAGGTGCGGAGTGCCGAGAGCAGTTTGGGCCGCCGCTGCGTTTCTCGTCATCTCCGACTCACTTTTTTTTCTTTAGACCCTCTTCTTTTTCGTCTCGCTTCCGAACTGAGCCCCTTCGCTTTCACTTCTGTGTTAAAATTGTCGTTGGCCCGGAGTTCTTTCAGACCCGCACTGGTCATCTTGTCAGCGGGAAGCTGCGCGGTTTTGAATCGGGATTTATACTTAAGTGAGGTGTGCCTCTTCTATACGCTGTTAGGGCCTGGCTGCGTTTCCTTCAGGTGTGTGGAAGTTTAGACGTCAAGTAGTGCGTTTAAAGGCAGCATATTCTCTTATAAAGGTGGTGCCTCGTCACATCTTAGCCCTCTACGTGAGGAATTGCTTAGTCTGTAGTAAATATTCAAAAAAGTTATTTGTTGAACAAGTGAGTAACGATTTATAAGGCAGCTAATAAACTTCTAAACCGAGGAAACGGATGCTCAGACTAGTTGGAACTCTTTCTGAAGATTTTAAAAGAAGCTTCTGTAAATCTTAACGTACAGCTCTGTCGTGTACACAAGTTAACTTACAAAGCATTTTTCTTCTCTTTAATTTTGAGTCGTAAAATCGTTGAAAAGAGTCATCTTTGTGCTGGTAAGGGAAATGACTGTTAGGAGGATTCAAACCTCATTTGCAGACTTTGAAAAATATGTGCTGATTTGAAAACAGTATTTTCCAAAATTAAGTGACAGCAGAAAGTTAAAGATTCAGTTTCCAAATTACTTTACCTGATTCAGGTGTAAAGAGCATACACTATACTTTTTTTTCTAGCTAGTATGTTTTTGTTTTGTTCAACTGGAATTTTACAGAGAATCTTACCAGTTTGATATATTTGAGATTCTGGTGAATCACTGATTACCTTTATTTCAAGATTGTTTTGTAGTATAAGCAAAGAATGTGTCTTTTCTGTTTTTTGGCCATGCTGCATGACTGGGGTGTTAGTTCCCAGATCAGGGATCCAACCTGGATCTCAGGCATTGAAAGCACATGAAAACTAACCATGTTTTGTTTTTTTTTAAACTTTGCTAACAATTAGATGTCACTCGAATTGAAAGCATTTTCAGGAGGAGCAATACAGGAAAATAACATTTCATCAAATCTGTGATTATTTCATATGCTCCTAAAAAGGGGGAAAAAAATCTGTAAATGATGTTGTCAACGGTGATATGTCATTGATCATAAGGAACATGTCTGGTAAAGAGATGTTTAAATATGGGGGAATATGCATAGTAAAGTGGGTTAAATATGATATTCTGAGGGTCCACCCAGAAATCTAAGTAGGCATCTATTTTCTATAGCTTACCACTGAAGCACCTTTCTTTTTGGCATGAAATACAAGTAGTGGACCCAGGCTTACTTTGTACATCTGTTGTGCCTCTGATAGCTGTGTGTAAGTCCTAGTTGATAAATGAGAATGGAGAAAGAGCTGATTTTGATTCCTGTTGTACATTTCAGTATTTTTCAGGGTCATTTCTAAGATAACATTTCTGCATGATACACATTAGGGAGTTCAGTTCAGTTCAGTCGCTCAGTCGTGTCCGACTTTTAGCGACCCCAGGAATCGCAGCATGCCAGGCCTCCCTGTTCATCACCAACTCCCAGAGTTTACTCAGACTCATGCCCGTCGAGTCGGTGATGCCATCCAGCCATCTCATCCTCTGTTGTCCCCTTCTCCTCCTGCCCCCAATTTTTCCCAGCATCAGGGTCTTTTCCAATGAGTCAACTCTTTGCACGAGGTGGCCAAAGGATTAGAGTTTCAGCTTCAGCATCAGTCCTTCCAATGAACACCCAGGACTGATCTCCTTTAGGATGGACTGGTTGGATCTCCTTGCAGTCCAAGGGACATTAGGGAGAGACCTACCTAAATTCTGTAAAAGTATTTGGGCTGTTTTCATTAGTTTTATCCACAGAATATCATTTTAAAGCTGGAAAGTATGTTTTCTAGCTTCCTAAGATGAAAAAACAGCTGGAATTAGAATCTGGCTTTTCTTTTTCTTTAGGGCTACTTAGGTTAACCGTTCAAGGCAGAGAGTATTCTTTTCCTTAAAGATCTGACATAATATTATTTAGTTAAGATCTTATATGAACAAGAGCGTAGGTAGTCAGCTTTCCTTTAAAAACTTTTTACAACCATTCAGTGTTATATATGATTATATGTATATAGCAAATATTAGTAACTTTTTCCAGTATTACTAAGGCAAGACTGTGAGAGTGATGCTCTTTGGGCTGCTTGTCAGATTTTCCATTGTTGGTCCCGTCTAAGCCTTAGACACTTTATTTTGGCTGCTCAGAGTCTTCACTGCTTTTGCACTGGCTTTCTCCCCTTGTGAGAGGGATCTGGCTACTCACACTTGGAGTGCATGGATTTCTCGATGTGGCTTCTCCTGTCGCGGAGCACGGCCTTTAGGTGCTTGGGCTCGGTCGTTGTGGCCCATGGGCTCAGTACTTGTGGTCGTGGGCTCAGTTGTTCGCTGCATGTGGGATCTTCCTGGATGAGGGCTCGACGCCATGCATTGGCGGGCAGGTTCTAACCCACTGTGCCACCAGGGAAGTCCTAAGCCTTGAGCTCATTTGGTTGGGATAGATGTAGGATCTGCCCTACTACTTTCACTGAGATGTTGACTAGGGTATATTGTACTTGGATTAAAGGCTTTTTAAAAAATAAATACTGTTAACTGCATGTTACATAGGATCTTTAGTGATATTTAATGTTGAAAACTTAAATTTGCATTTTAAAATTTGAGTTTTGAATTGAATGGAAAGATGACCTGAGATTTTTATGTGGGATACTTTGAGATTTGAACAACTATCCTTTATAAAGGTTACCCTATTGTGCTGTGCTCAGTCATTCAGATGTGTCCGACCGACACTTTTCGACCCTGTGGACTGTAGTCCACCAGGCCCTTCTGTCCTTGGGATTTTCCTGGTGAGAATACTGGAGTTACAGTTTCTTCTCCAGGGGATCTTTCCCACCCTATAAGTACTTTTTTTCAAAGGTCAAGGTGGATTTTTTTTTTCTTTTCCCTTTCGGATTTCGTCTCATCTGTTAAGGTATTCACCTAGACTAGAAGAGTTGTTACAGACAAAAGGAATGGTTTGTTTTGGTTTTTGGTTTTTTTTAAATTGTTTTTCTGTTCTTAGACTTGAAAGGTTTTGAAATTCCTCCAGAAATCTCAGATGACTTTGTCTTTAATTTAGCATGGGCCAACTTGTCAATTATGGATAATAATTCTTTTAAAATTTTTTAAAAATACAGATTGGTCTTATACTTATTTTAATGTATTTGATACTTTTTAAGTCTCTTTAATGAATTATGTATTAATCAGTGCTGTTTGGAGAAAGGAATGAATAATTATTTGATATCCAAAATGATGAAATTCTCTTTTGTTATGGGTACTTAAGGGCTTC